AAACATCACATTTCAATGTGTTTATACCACCAGAAAGTCTTCAGGGAGGAATCTTTCTCCCATCCTTCCCAATCCCAATATTATCTATTAGCTACTGCTCATTTTTAATTATATCCATTAAGCAAAAAATGAATCTAGAGCCCCAGAGTCCAAGTCTCAGTCTGCCATCCTGAAGATGCCAGGTGAATTCCAACTCAAGACATCACAGATGCCAAAGGAATAAACCTGCAGCAAAGCAGTCTCCCATGACCTGGGATCGCTACTCACAGCACATCAGTCTTTGCCAGCTCACAAAGAACATTCCCAGCCCCACACTGGTCAAGTGACATTTATTTCTGAGGTGCAAAGATGAACAACGTGTTTCCAATGAATGCTGTGTGCTTTCTTGCCATTCTCCATGGGGTGCTGAATGTCTTCTTTCTTTTTCCTTCCTCGCTACTTCTGGGTGAGAGAGTACTGGACCTCCAGGAGAAAGAGCCATCCCTGGGCTCTCCTCAGACTGCCCACGGGGCTCATTATTATCACTCTGACAGGTTGCCCAGCAAGGTTGTGCAGCCACCGTTCTTGCAGATCTTCAAGACTCTGACTGGACAAGGCACTGAGCAACTTGGTCCGGTCCTGTGGCTGACCCTGTTTGAGCTGGAGTTAAAATTAGAGATCTCCCGGGGTCGTTCCAGCGTCAGTTATCCTCTGATCCTATGACAGAAGCCGTGTTTTGAAGCTACACAGAGAGATTTTTCAAAAAAGAAGAGAAACCTAGATGCTATATTCACTAGCTTTTAATGATAAGCACAAGGCTTGCATCAGACTTGGTTTTCACTGATCCACATACAGAGGAACTTCACTGAAGTTCATTGATCTACAGCATCTACTTGATACCTAGGTATTGCTTCAACTTCATAGCGAAGTAACAAAGTGGATGTGCTAAAGGAGAACAGGTATTCAATAATTCTTCCTGATTAAGAGCTCTGAAGCACATTTCAGGATTCACCTGTACCTGTAGAGGGAACTCAGTCCTCTGGATCTGGGAGCAAACCAGAATTGCTCGGACCAGATTTGATTCGATGCTCTCACCCCTGCCTCTGTCCACACACAAGCTGCTGTGCGAGTGTGGTCCTTGGTAGGAGTAGGCAGCGTCCTTCAGTAACTCTTCAGCTTCCCTCTAGGTGACTGACAAAGCAAGAGCATTTCCTGGGGCATTACCAGCATCACTGATACAGCAGGGAGCTCTGCTCTTAGCCTGGAGACCCTCTTTTGTCAGCCTAAGAGTCAGGCATGCCATCTTGATAATATTACAGAGGAGGAAAGCCGGAGATTTGAACGGCCTTGTGCAGTAAATAGGGTGGCATTTCAGGAAGGAAAGGTACATACCTCCGAGAAAAGCATAATATGATTTTAGTAGCATCATTATTGGGGTTCTCATTGAAAGAAACATGGGAGCTTATCTCCCCGTGGAAAGAAACGGGGCAAAATAGGCATTATCATTACAATAAAGCACTTCTCTCTTTCCCCATTGGGAGAATATGTAACAAAGGTGTTAATTCTTATCATCCTGCCATGACGCATTAAAATTTAAGAAAAAATGCCTTCTCTGCAGCAGAAATACTTGTATTTGGGGCTCTGCCCTTCAGATTTCAGAAATTCCTACTATATGGACTTGAATACGAGTTAAAAATAACAGCACATTTTCAGCGGCAAAATTTTAAGAAATCAGACGCTCCCTCTCCCCGACCTCTATTAAGTTTGGAAGAATCTGCAGAAGCAGCTGGACGGGACTGAGCAGGGTGTGAAAACCCATATTCCAGGGCAGGACAGAGAAAAGAAGATCACTTGAAAATGTCAGTGTGAAGCTGGTTCTGTAAAAAGTGGAGAATTTCAAGAGTGAATGTGTGTATGTGTTCGTGCATGTGCTGAGGAAAGTCGGGTTGGCAAGGGAGACAGAGGAGAGCTTTGTGTTCAGTGCTTACCCTGACACAGCGCAGCCTGTTCCCTATCTCTCAGTTTCACTTCTGAATGTGCAGGAACATGCGGTGGCTCCTCTTCCCCACTATCTTCATCATCCCTTGTACGCAACAGGTAAGTTCATTAAAAAGAAGAAGAAGAAAAAAAGATTTCTTCCTTCTTCACCCTCCCCAGGTTTAAGGTTATTTGCTTAATGATCAAAAAAAAAAAGAAGGGAAGCAAATTCTTCATAAAGAATAAGAAGTATTGAGTAATTTTCATTTGCAGTTTATTTCCTGCATCAGTCTTGATTTGTTTTTTCTCTTTAATCTGTGTATTGATACAATTCTGTGAAAAAAAGTGTTAAAAGATCTTAAAAAGGTCAGCAACCTTGCTTTTTTGTTTGTTTGTTTTAAATTTAAGCACCAATGATTGCCTGATGCAGTGTAAGAAAGTAACCATCTCGTCCCTGCTCATATTCCATATATGTAAATATAATATACACACTAATCTGACTTGAGGTTAGATTTGCTGAGGAGAAAGCTCTGGGGTCTGTATTGGTTTGTCTCTTTTGAACCAGTTTTAAGGGGCAGCTTTTGCTGAAAGTATTTCCGTGTCAAAGGCCAATTTTATTTTTTTTCTTAATAATTTAAATATTTTTCTTCTTTTTAAAATATATGTTATAAAGCACAAAGTAGTATTCATCTACTAGAGGCGACTCTCAAGTGGAGAATTTTCAAATAGCAATCTAGTTCTGATAGCTTCATTTTGGATATTTAAAGCCAGACAAGATAACTAAATGTAAATAATAATACACTGCCTACTTTTGCTATTTATTTCTGCCATACAGACCTTGCTCAATCACAAAAATGCAAGAAAACAAACAAACAACGCATGAAAGTCTGCTACACAATGGTCTCATTTTCTAATCTGCCCATAGGATCAGGAAAAGTATGCAGTGGCTTGTGTGATGTGGATAGCTTTGGTATAAAAACTTTGGGAAGCAAGAATTAGAAAACATTCAACCTGTAAGCTTTATATGCAAACTTTAAATCTTTACCATACCTTAACAGATTTTTGAAAAATTTTTAGGTAGACCGAGTTATTCGATTATTTCACATTTAAAATTTTCAGATAATTCTCTGACTGTATTTTTCTTCCTGGGAAACTTTGTAGTTTCTTTATGTTTAAAGCATGTTTTAACTCACAATACTAATGAAACTTACTGGTCAAAACACATGTATTACTTCCTGCTACAAACTTCCATTTTGAAATAAGATGCCTGCTTTAAGCCCCATAGCCTCCTATAGCTGACACATTGCCAAATCTGTAACAATAATATTAGTCTGGTTAAAAAAAGAAGATAGATTGAGCAGTTAGAGAGTGAGTTTCCTAAAGCAACTAGTCTTGATTGCTACTAAATGCATTTAACACCTGTTTTTCACATATCCTGTTTCCAGAACAAGTCTTTAAGAAGCTTTACACTCAGTGCATGTGTTCATCACACTAACATTATGGTCTATATGAAGAGTGTAGCTGCTTAGAAGTACACTTAAGTATATGTAAGTTGGCAATTCCTATATTACTGCATTCAGGTAGAACGGGTTAGAGGAAATCATCTACTATAGTGGAAATCATCTTATCATTTATAATATTAATAGATACCAATGATAAATTATTAATGAATAACAGAAATACACTTAGGAAACTATTTTGAGTACTGTACGGAATACAACAAGACATGGCCTGGTATTTAGTTATTACATGACTTGCTTTTGTGAATGAAGGGGTACCTTAAAAACATTCAGTCAAAGGAACTTACGAACTACAACTTTGGAGCTTCATAATTAGTGGTATTTTAAGGTGTTGTTGTATAGCTGTAAATGACCATAAAAAAGGAAAGGTAGGAAAAAATCTTCTAGAAAGTCATTTGCAGTCTGCAATGAGGCAGCTCAATTATGCTGCAACAGCTTTCATACGATATGACACGAAATACTGAATTCTGCAGACACCTCCAGTTTGCTTGACTTGAAAGGAACAAAAAAGTTTTTGTCCCCTAACTTTTTCCTGTTGTCTCTGTGAGAGGCTGTTTTTAAAAACAGCAGAGACTTGCAGAGAGAAACTGATAGTTTGGGCTTTGTACACCCCCAAGAAATGTAAGCTAGATGGAGAATGCAAGTTAGATGGTGATAATGGCATCTGCTAAGGGACTACATCTTGTCTTTCCCTCTCACTTTTTTGGGTGGAGTTGTCCCACCAATCTTAAAAAAAAAAAAAAAAAAAAAAAAAAAAAAAAAAAAAAAACTAAAGAAATCATTAAAAAAAAAAAAAAAAAAAAGATGTTTGAAACAATGGGGAAGCGGTGAATTCAGGCTACATGTTATCTTTCTACTGCTGATACGAATCAATTTTTGAGACACCTTTCCCCCACCCTGTAAATCCTGAATTCAAAGAATACTTGCTCATGCATATACATATGTATATCCCGGGAACTGACCTATTAAGCTCAACACAACTACTAGCATCCCTTACTATCTGCAGGATTCATTTTTTTGCAGCTAGCAAAAGACAATTGGTAAGCAATACAATAATCCCTCCCAAAAAGCTACACAGATTTTTGAGGCAAAATAACACTCAAATGAGTTATTTTAAAAGGCTTTTGCCATGAAAAGCGGCACAAAGGACTGTTTGGCTATCAAATAGCAGGAGCAGTGCAAAGCTAATTAACTTGAGAGAAGGTTTCCAGGAAAGAAGAGCTAAAATAAATCCACCAACTATTTTAAAATCTTTTTCTAAAATGTTGTAAAGTCTTGATCTCTGCTATATGTTTTGTTCTATAGAAAGAGCCAGTGAAATGTTTTTCAAATAACAGCTGATCGAACTCATTGTTGATTGAAATGTTGATGTATTAAAGTTACTGATCAAGTCAGTCTCCTACTTAGACCTTGCAGTATCTTCACTTTGTGGATCTTTCGAGCTTACAAAAAATCTTAGTTGCTTCATTAAAGTTCAAACTTTCTTCCCCCCCAATTTGCTTTATGGCATATGAGCTACGCATAATGTATGCAGCTCTCACAAACCCCACTGTACGTAAGTTTTTCTGCAGGGCACGAGCCCACAGTCTGCAAGGAGGGAAGTCTGGAACAAAACCTTCAGAAACAAGTGAAATCCCCCAGCGAAAGGAGTTTTGTCACTGGCCATGCAGCTGCCCGCTCGTGCCAACCTGCGCCCCGGGGATAAGTTTGGTAAAAGATGGTTGTGGCTGCTGCAAGGTCTGTGCCAGGCAGTCCGGAGAGACCTGCAACGAAGCGGCTGTGTGTGACCCCCACAAAGGCCTCTACTGTGACTACTCCGAAGACAAGCCTAGGTATGAAACAGGCGTGTGTGCATGTAAGTTGCTCTTTACCACTCTCCTTTTGAAATCCAGGAGGGTGGGACCACACAAGTGAATGGTTTTGAAGGAAAAACCCTTGCAGGTGCTGCACAACTCTGCTTTCTACATACCGTATTGCTCAGAGAAGTATTGCTCACTACTGTAGGAACTGTCTTAAACTTACCTGCTTCTGCAGCAGTGAAATTTATTCACTCCGCATAACTATTCTTTGCAGATATGTTTATGACTGATTTAAGGTTAAGCAGCTGTAGATATCACTGGGCACAGATAAAAACGAAGGGCTTCAACTACTATGAACTTGAAGTGCAAAAGTAGAAAATTCAGTAAGGGATAATCATATTTTAGCACTTGGCAAGCAGAAGCCACTTGCTCATAATGTGTTAGTAACTGTTGTTTACCGTTTGCAGATCTTGTAGCTGTAGGATGTGAGCTCAATGGAGTTTATTATCTTAATGGACAGACCTTCCAACCTAACCCTCTTTATAAGTGCCTGTGTGTCAGTGGTGCAATTGGATGTACACCTGCATTCATACCGAAATTAGCAGCAAGCCCCTGCACCAGGGTCAAGGGCAGGAAGAAGCTTGGACAATCCAACTGTGGTCCTGGACAGCACAAGCAACTTCAATCAACAAGTTACAGACTCATGTCAGGTGTGCCTGAATGAACTGCTAAACCTTCCTGTAGCTGAGACTCATGCAATTTAGTGCCCCAGAAGGGTAGGAGACGGCACTTGATCATCCACTTGTTCCTTTCTCTTCTCCAGCAGCCAGGCTGACATCCCTCAAGGCCACTGCCAGGGTGACCCTTCCATTCTCTTATCTCACAGACTCTTTTCTCCAAACCTGATGGTTATGAAAAACAAAAAGCCTTTTGGCTTTGTTGTGACTGAATTGGCTAAAGCAGTCTTCAATCCATATTTCTGCAGACTTTCACTACTCACAAGAAAAGACCAATCAGGGTTACTGCTGTGCAACCATTTTGCAAATTAGGAGCTTGCTTACTTCAGTGCTAGGAAGCCCTGGTTATCACATATCAAAATTGTTACGATTGCCTCTTCTTTCAGCAGAAAGCAAAATATGAAGATTGCTGTAATGGTTTCCCTTGATTGTTCAAAAAGTTTCTGGCCACTGAAAGGAAAAAGGTCCACTCAGTTTCTTTTCTATTCAGTCTGATCTAAAGGATAGAGCAGTCTACCTGCACAGTACTGCTAGGATCAGCTCATTCCCTTTAACCTTATTCTTGCTCTTCAACTAACACTGTAGCAGCCTTGGTGACTCTGCAAAAGCACCACTGCCCTTCCCTGCCCCAGCTGCCTACCCTTGTGCTGCCTCCTTCCCCCGTGCGTGTGTATTTACATGGGGAAACGGGGCTGCATAGCACATACATCAACTGATATAAACACACAGAGCATACATAAACACAATGTAGAAGGTCTGTGCCGATGGACGTGTTTGAAAAGAGCAGACAACCTGAAAAATGAGGAACTGGATATGTGCAGTCTCCTGACACCCCATAATATTTTGAAGTATAAGCTTAATTTTCACCCTATTCCCTTCAAAGAAAAGCACTTTGAAATACTGTTTCAAAATGGGGCCTTCCCCCTTCACATTCGGAGTACAAAAGTAAATTAGTTTAAATCTGTGCATGAGTGGCATGAATGTTTCAATGGACTAATACTTATTTTGAAAGTTGCCTTTCTTTTGCTAGTGTGGACAACAATTGTTAATTTTTGTTTCATTTTACTGCTCTCGCTTTGTTTTCCTGCTTTCTTTATGCATTCTAATTACCTAAAATATATATATATAAATAGGAATGTACCTAGATCATACATTTTTTTAAAAATGTGCTACGTATAAACAGTTATTTAGCTTCACTTCATTTGTTACAGATATGTGACAGGCTAAATTTTAGTTTGCTTACTGCCATGGAAACTCAGTGGCAAAACTCTTGTACAACTTTGCTTTTGCCTCACCCTTAGATTTACCTGCAAAAGCATCCTGATGAACAGAAATCAAATGCTTACCCTTTCATTTTCAATTAATCTTTTTAGGCCTGTTTCACTGCAAAAATTGTATGTTGCTGTCTTAGCTTACAGAAACTTACCACTAGTTTTGAAGAAGAAGTGTCTAGTACAGGCAACTCCTTGGACAGCCTGTTCCCGGACCTGCGGCATAGGCATATCCAGTAGAGTGACCAATGAAAACAGCAAATGTGAAATGAGAAAAGAAAAGAGATTATGCTTCATTCAGCCTTGCCAGACTAATATACTGAAGACGATAAAGGTACTTTCTAATATGCAATAACTTCCTACTATAAAATGGAAATATTGGAGGTAATGGAAAAATTGATGTTTTAGTAATATTTACCAATATGACTTCTTTTTAAAGAGTTATATAAAATGACTCTTCTCTCTTTTGTACAAACCTTTCTGAAATAAAAGCTTAAGTTTTCAATTGTAAGCTACAAAAATGTATTTTCAAGCAAAACAATATATTATCTCAAAATAAAAGGAGTTCTGGTGCTGTCCTGATGCTCAGTTACTCAGGAAAGATTTTCTGTTTGTTGGCTGTTATAGAAAAATAAGACAGCTTCCAGAAGGGGTAGTTTTCCAGAGGCTTTTATGTAAAGTTTGCATTTTTTGACATGTTCTGTTTTCCATCTGTAAAAACCTCAGGCTTTTCTTTGTTTTCACATTAAAGATTCCAAAAGGAAAAACATGTCAGCCGACATTCCAGCTTCCTACAGCCGAAAAACTAATCTTTTCCGGATGTTCAACCACACAAAGCTACAAACTAACTTTCTGTGGAGTATGTTTGGACAAGAAATGTTGCATACCTAGTAAGTCCAAAATGATCACGGTGCAGTTTGAGTGTCCCAATGAAGGCTCCTTCAAGTGGAAGATGATGTGGGTAACATCTTGCGTATGTCAGAGGATTTGCAGTGATCCAAGAGATATATTTTCTGAACTCAAGATTTTATAAGAAGTTACATCATTGACAGTAAGAATTGCAAGAGTGACAGCACATTCGCATCCTAAAGAGTTAGCCTAAAAAACTCCAGCAAAATTTATAGTGAAACTACATCTGTGAATATTCATTTGTTAAGTATCAACTGCAATATGCATATAAAAGCACTTCTTTTTAAACTTTTTTATATGGGGAAACGCATTTGTGAGAAGTACATATATGCTATTAGTAGTGTCAAAACAAGAGCTTTTGGGATTAAAACAAAAAAGCGCAGCAAGAGAGCTTTGTATCCTGCTATAACATACGCTGCCCAAAATGATTAGTGCATGTAAATTCTTAGATGCTCTGAATAACCTATTATAGAAAGATATTTTAATCTGTAATATCTCATCTATCAACCTTGATTATCAATATAACATTTACAACTTGTACTGGTGAAGTTAAAGCACGTCAATGCTGTTTCAAACATACAAGAAGTGAATTTAAAGCTCAGACTGCTTTTCACAGGAATTAGTCTTTCCCTGGTTTTATGAATATTAAAAAAATGCCTTTACAAAGAAACAAAGAATGGGACACTGACAGATAACATATATACAAATTTTCAAGGAAATGCCTATTTTAAAAATGCTTTCTTAAAAAAAAAATGCTCAACAAATATTGTCACAATATTTTATTGAATAGTGGCCTCAAACTGAAAATTGTGCTTACTTATGCAGCCTCTCGAGCCTTAAGAAATCACTGTATTGGTACATTCTGATTTGAAGCAGCTTACTGCTGACATGCTGTTTCAAGACTGTCAAGTTGGCAAGCAACTGGAAGTAGCTGCATATCCTATTTTATGAAATTTCTTACCATATTATAAAAGTCACTTTACCTCAGTAATTATATGCTTAAAAGAATGCAAGTTAAACAGATGTTTTAATCAGACAGTCTTCAGACAGTCTTCATTATAAGTGCTTGCTTCATTCAGAGGTATAGTGTATTAATTCATTATCAAGTGCAACTCAGCTTTCATCTTTGAAAACGGCATATGGCTTCTCCTTTTCTTCCTAGCAATGCATTAAAAAAATTAAACTGATAGTGGGGAGTTTTCTTTGAAACAGGTCCTGCCTATAGTTTAATTTCTGAGAATTCTTTGAGAACTACATTTTGGGAACTTGCTTTCTTCTCCTTACAGCATGATGACAATTCTACAGTTAGTAGGATGCCTCTCTACTGAGTTCCTCCATCATTAGACGCAGGAGAGCAGTACATTTTCAAATCTTTTACAAGATGGGCCCACTATTTAATATGACCCTCCCTCACTTTGGGAGCTGAGGAGGCAGTTGTCACAGTCTCATTTCAGAATGACAAGATGTAGGCACTCTGCAGGTCATTCTGGTTAACTGAAGTGGTTGGATGCTCAGAAAAAATAAAATAAAAAAGCAAAGTAACAGTTTTTCCTTCTTTACACAGCTATCTTCAGTCTTGCTGGATCTATTCCAGGCCCACTTTTTGTGGCATCCAGTTCATTATACTCTTCTATTAGGTCAGACAAAGACGATATGGCTTCAGAGAAGCAGCTTTGCTCCATCCCGTCTATATGCAGATAATGATGAAGATGAGCCTATGAGAATAAGAAATTCAGCTTTAATGCTTTCTTGGCACCTGACTTAATTCATTTGCCATATCAAAGAGAGTAGCGTAAAACATTGTAGAAAGTTGATTTAAAGACTGGTTTCAATCCTCTGCTAATGTACTTGGCAATTTTAGTAGCAACCTTCTAAGGCTACTGAGTTCTTCTGGAACTTTTCAAATTTTGACTTACGGAGGGATGCTTGAACAAACTGGTTAGCATCTGCTAGATACTAACTCATTGCTCAAGAAAATATGCGTATTGTCTTGTAGGTAGAGGTAAATAAATGGTTTGCTTTTTATGCAGCAATTGTTGAAATGATTCTTTGTTAAGTACCATGAGCTGGGCTGGGCTACCACTTCTTTTTGTTAAAATTAAGATTTGTTTCCCAGTAACGCAAGACAGCAATGCTTAGTGGCTATGAATGCTATATTAATGACAGAGCCATACCTTTTTCTTGTAGAGCCTCATGAATCTGTCTTTGAGTTCCATAAAAGTTGGTTTCACACAGGTGTTGTTTGCTAAAGCCAGAAGTGAGTGGGAATGGCCCACAGGAGGTACTGAACACAAGCCAGTTTTCCATCCTTCTTGATTCCACGAGACAAAGTTCAGGGAAGGTTTCAACCTATAATTGAGATGTTTACAGATGCATATGGAACGTAAAGAACATAAAGCTTAAGTTTCCTTTGCTAACAGTCTCAAAAGGTTGACTTTTAAACTTTCAGCACTAAGAAATCCAGTTATGACTAGTACTTTGCATAAAACACTCTAGGCTTCAGGCTAAAATTGTTTATGTATTTTAAATTTAAAATGCTTTTTATTAATTTAACATATCAGTTTTTGAAAAGCAAAGTTACAAGGCACTTATTTCTATAAAAGGGACTGCAAGCACTCTGAGTCTCATGAAAGGGTTAGGTTAATAGCATAAGGGAGCAGTCAGTCTACCTATATACTTCAAGTGTAGGCAAAATGTTTTTGACTCTTAGGAATTTTCTGTGCACCTGTGTCTACATGTAAAATTCATTCTTAATTAGAAGTTTGCCCTTCCTGTCATAGCCTACTACAATAATGTCAGAGACAGCAATGGTATGCTAACAACACATGCTTGATAAAACAAGGATGGCTCGCTACCCACATGAAAGAGCTTCTAGTACAGAGCCCCTCCCTCCAACATCCCATACTGGCAGGCGACCTGGACAAGGTTGGGCTTTTTGAGGATGGGAGGAGCAGCTCAAGGACATCTGGTCAGTTCCATTTATTTGGAAATCCAAGGACGCTGTAACTATTTATGCTTTTTAAAGTAAACTATCTATATTTTCTTCTCTTTTGAAATTAAGTAAAATAGTTTGAGTAAAATTATTTAGCTTTAAAATTCTTCAGATGAAAAGAGCACTGTAGACAACTAGCAACAGTTTCTAGAATAAGTACCATGAGTATTTTGTGTGGTATTACAAACCTTTCGATATTTCTGCGAAGATCTGAAACCTGAACGTTTCCTCTAACAAGAAGTGCACACGCAAGGTAGAGACTGTGCTTCGGATCTGCTTGAATTAGTTGATGATCTCTGCTAAAAGCATCTGAAAACATCTGATCCAACCTGTGTCAAGAAAAAGTGGAATTACCTTATTAAGGCAGGTTATATAATTCTTCAGAACTCCCATTTTCAGAGATTGAAATTTTCATAAAGATCTGAAAATAAAGGTACATTTAAATTGTGAATGGCAGAAAAAATGTTTTTTTTTATATCTTCGTATGAAGTATTAGTGTTTTTTTTCTTTTTGATAAATAGACCATATTTCTCCATTCTCTCTCATGAAAAACCCAGTGTTGAGCCCTTCTCAGAGAAGATGGCAGATTAAAATAGAGACCTTTAGTAAGGACATTATGTCAATGGTTACATTAAAAAAAATATATATATTTAAGTTGGTTTATATATATATTAAGTTGGTTTAACTACCTGAGGTTCTGGTTATATGACAGTTTGAGCAAACTCACTGCTTGTGGAGGATTTGACAAGAAAATACCGAAGTCCTGCAGACCTTTATAGAACTGATCATCTGCCTGTTCTGCTTCACTGTCTAAAGGGAGCAATAAATCATATCACTACATTAATTTTGGTCAGTGATTTAGAAAAATACAGCCTATATATTTTTGCCCACTTATTCAAATTTTATCCTGAATGGCTATTTTAAAAGATGACACAACAGACCGTATTCTCCCTCTCTTATCTCCTCAAGCAAGTCACATTAGCATCTAACATTTAAGCCATTCTTTTTTCATTTGTTCCAAATTATCTACATATATCAGCCCTGTTCTCCTGTTTTGTTGTTGTTTTTTTTTTCCAAATCACTTCTCCCAACAATCTGCCAAAAAAAAAAAGACATAAACGACTACTCTTCCCACCTCATTCCGAAATACATCCAGTGTGCTCTGTGTGCCAATGTAACCGAACAAACCAATTTTATGTGCTAATATTTCCAGAAGGTCACAAGAAGTGCTTGTGAAGGGATGGGAACATGACCCATAAGTAAAGAAATGGGGACAGAGGGCATTCTCAATATCGGCAGGACAAATTTGAATTTTGCAGGCTTTCAAAATTAATTATCTCCTCCCTTTCAAAATTCCAGATTTTCTACACTTAGTTTTCCTGAAGAAAGATTTTTTAATGAAAACCACGGAAGAATTTAAACTTAAAATCTAAAGACAGTTTGCTAATAACCTCTTCCTCCTACCTTCTAGCAGGTACATTAACATCAGCCAAAGTATACAGAGGAGTCAAGCTTGAAACCAAGTAATGAAGTCGAGGAAAGGGAACCAAATTCATGCTGATTTCATTAAGATCCATGTTAAGTGAACCCTCAAACCTAGCAGAGCTGAAAAGATAACAGAACTGTTTTAAAACTATTTAAGTAAATCACTTTTGTAATATAAACATTATGTGTATTTTTCAGTTGTTCCCCAAAATGAAACACTAAAGCAACAGAGTTCAAGTATATCATTTCAAGAAATGTGAAACTGTAACAATAAATACTGAATTTTAAAGCTGTGGAGATAACATGGCCATTTCTCGTTTCCTTGCATTTCTCATAACATAATAATTAAGCATCAAGAATAAGACTTTTCTGGTTGTAGCCTTTAGCATTGTTTTTCCGTATGTGGACCCAAGTGCTTGAAACCGTTTTTAATAACAGGTATAATGAAACATGTGACTTTAAATATTTCTGACCAATTGTTTAAGAAAAGCAGACCAGTATGTTTTCCAGGTATTTTTTACCAGGGTAAAAGGTATGTTTTACCAGGAATTTCCTCCATATGTGGGCGATATAGGCAGTAGAATTGTCTGATGACTTTTATAAAAAAAAAAATATTTGGCCAAGAAAGGTTAATCTCCATGGGCGCCATCCAGTATTAGTCTTCCACAGTAGGCTTTTGCCTGCAGATCTTGTCTTCAGTTCTTAAGACTATCACAGTTACAGCAAAATGACTGACATGTGACTTATCTCCTTATACTTGAAGGCTAAATTAATTCTTAAAAAGAGGAAGTTAATATAAAATTGAAAACAATCAAAATTCTTTGAGATGTTGTAGGCCTGAACATCAGAGGTGCAACCTCCCTTCAGCAACATGACTTTTACAGAGAAATAACCTGTAACGTTACCTTGTAAGATTCAGCAGCAAGTTGGCTATGATGTTATTCATAGCATCAAATGGCTTCTGCTGTACAGTTTTTGTACTGCTTGCACTTGATGTTAACAAGCTGTTTGGCTTCACAATTGATCCTAGCTTTCCAGAATTGACCATCTGCTGAATTTTATTAACTATATCGAACAAAGACTTTGAGAGAAAGATAAAACCAGAAATCATACAAAGACTCTTGGGCACACAGCTTTCAAATTCAGTACCTCAATTTTTAATTTCAAATAATCTTAAAACTCAAAGAAAAACTAAGACAATGATGTTCTAGTTCAAGGATTGTGCTAGGATACCTGTTAAGTCCAACCTTTAAACAATTCCAATCGACTTAAGTGTTTCTAAATGTTTGCTCCTTACGTCCCCCAAATGTACGCAGCTTAATTCGGAGAGAAATTTGAATTCTCTTCAGATATTCTAAAACTTTGTCTTCTAAAAAAGAATTTCAAACTCTCATGAAAGCAAAAAGATATTCTTTAAATATATTCCACTTGTTCTAACTTTCTTATAACCAAAAACCAATTCGAGAGAGTCATCAAAGTTGGATTCAAAAGAGTCTAGCTGTTTATGTGGCCTGGTACATCTATGATACTCATATTCCTTACTATGAAAGCCAAGTGTAGTTGGAGTGGGTTATTCATTTCCCTTGCAGTATCATGCTGACACTATACTATAGTTTTACTATAGTGTTAGTGTATAACACTAACACATTAACTGCTAAAATGATTTTTAAGATTCTTGTCCCCAGTATATAGGAGACTTTCACTGTTTACTTTCAAACAGACAAGAGAAAAAAAAAAAAAAAAAGAAAATCACCCGAGACTACTTTTGAGAATAGAAGAGTGACTTTTTTGAAGATGAAAAAAATAATGATTTTTAAGTGATAACTAAATTAATTTCAAAAGCCTGCAAGTGACTCAGGTGTTCAATTATCATTTTAAGAAATAAAATGATGCTTTTTAAACTTGATTCTAAGTTCAATACACAGAAGGAAGAAACACATCCTATATGCGGGTTAAAAAAAATTGACAGAAACAGAATATTATTTCTTACTTCATTCTCTATTGGTAGCACACAATCTGCATGCTCATTAAGTTCCTTCATAGCCAGAACACTATTGTATGGAGAAGTAATAACATCATCTTCACCAGAGGGATAAACTGAAGTAACAAATCTATATACTTCTGGGAATTCATCTTCAAGCAAATTCAGTACAAAAGTTCCAAGACCAGATCCTGTCCCTAAAAATAATTATGAATGAGAAGGCAGAATGAGAGAAGATAAAAGGTTTCCCATGTTCCTGGAAACGCACAACTTTTCAATAATACATATGAAAAAAAAAATTGAAGTATTCAGCACAATTCAGATTGTGGAGGCTACTGGCACAGACATTTAGACAGAAAATTATTTCTGTCTTGGGAAAATTTAATTGACAAAAGTATTTCTCATACTAGAGAGGATAAAATATACATTCTCAAAAACTTATGCAAACAGTAAGTCTTAAAAAAAGCCATAGTTTAGGCCAACCAAAATTTTCTTAGCATGGTCTTTTACATATTACTTTAAAAATATTTATTTGAATTTTGAAGGGCAACATTTAAAAGCATTGAACTAACTCTTCGTCAAATATGTCTATAAATTTACTTTCCCACTAGGGTTTCTTTAGAAAGTTTGCTCATTCTCTTGTCAAAATATCATAACCCTTTGCCTCCAACAGACACTTTTTTTTTTAATCAACACTAAGTCAGAAAATTAAACTGTAGGTTCTCTGTCTTGTACAGCTAACAATCTCAGCAGCTGACAATTTCATCTACGAACAACACAGCAGTTTTCTACAGTAATATCAAGACTATCTGCAGGGTCTCTCAAGTTAAATAGATGACAATAGAAAAAGGCCTCTGGCCAAACTGTGTCATATTTAGAGCTATTTGCAGTGTCCACATCATAATCATTGATAGTACAAGCTCAGTGCCAAAACACTGAATTTGTTCATGTTTCTGAGGAGAAAGGCTTAGTGACAAGATAGCAATAACAAATTGACACTGCAAAAGATTTTCCCTTTAGATTTATTAGCAGTGTAGTTACACCAGAATCAAGGGGATTGTGTTGGAAAGAAGACAGAAAAATAAGGAAGTTAAGCAACATCTGAAGCCTTCTTCGAATATTTCCTGAAAACAATTTGATCACAATTAAAAATAATTTGATTACGGCAATAACGACAGTGTTCTGAGACCAGTGCCCCTTCTTTTGATCAGCATCATTACCACATTCCCATCCACTCTGTCGCGTTTTATAATACAAGCTGTACTTTTTTGTTTTGGCAGTGCTTACTTGAGTTTATGATTATAGCTCCTCAGTTTTTTAGCAAGAAAAAAATAATTCCAAGTCCACATAACTGGACTGTGCTAGCAGATTTTTATTTGGTATTCTACATGATGTAGACTATTACAGTGATCTTCTTTTCAAGATCTGGGTTTTTCTGTTCATTTATGGCAGGTGTACTCATACTAATCATACTTACCACCTCCCATAGAATGAATTATAAAAAAGCACTGTAGGCAGTCACAATGTTCTGCAGTTTTCCTCAGCTTTTCCACAATATTTTCCTGGTATTGACAGCCATACAGCTTGTGACCTACAGCCCTGAAAGTAAGAAAAGTACTTAGAAATGCCCCCAACAATCACCTTTCAATTTTTTATTCCAGCTCCTTTTATTCAAGATTTTATGTTATTGCTTAACAGTTCAGAGCTGATGCAACTCCTGATTTAAGAAAGCTGCAAAGCTGTGACTATGCCATGGGACAGAGAAGTTAGAACGTGGTTTTAATACAGAGAATGTAAGCAGCAGTAAGTTCACAGTTTTGGAGCTTGTCCTAGTATTTTGCATGAGAAAGAAATAAACACCCATGTTGGATAATCAAATTATATTCAAAATTGCTAATGAACGGAAGTTACATCCCCCTTAACAATGAAGACGTAAGTATGTAACACATGGACGAATCTTAATTAGAGTATTATGCAAGTCAGTTTTTACTTGCAATTAAAAAAAAAAACATAAAACATTTTCAACACATTTTCCTTTTAGATGGTGTGACTATAGAATGCTTTATTCCCTGTACTGCATTTTCCTCTGCTGTATTTGCCAATGATTTACTTTCCAGACTGTAGTACACTGAATATTATTAGAAATGTATTAACGTCTCAGTGAAAAGTTTGAATTCATTATGTTCATCACCCACTTCCTGGATTTCTTTTTTCAGTAGTGTAACTTATATGCACAGAGCTGGAATCTGTAATGCTTAGAAATTAAACATATATTTGTTCATATAACTCATTCCTTTTTCTACACTAATTGCACTGTCCCAGACTAGATTATGACTGAACAGTGGAAGGAGGTGAATGTTAGAGGAACAAAAATACAAATTATGCTCTTTAAATAGTTCAAAATGAGGAAGAAAAAAAATAGAGAAAATGATATAGGGGTGAATTATCCTGTAAAAATGTTTTCAAAGCCTTCCTCTAGGCAAGAGTAACTCTCAAGTTTAGAGTAACTCTAAAGGTAATATGTTGTAGCACTCCAGGTGCAGTAGAACGAGCCAGAAGGCTACTGTTATCATTCTCATTTCAACTGCCATCCAATTAGTCGCTAAAAACACTTTCCAAAGATTTAGGAAGGATTCCTTCTCACCAGTTGTTTCCTGATCCAGAAACGTCTGTGATAAGCTGTTTGCTATCAAACACATCTCTCAATGGGCCCTGCAGAATTTCATTTACTACACCCTCCTCCATATCAATCAAGAGTGCCTTTGAGAAAAGGATTAAAATTCAGTCAGTAAGCAAGCCACAATTTGAAATAATCACACAAAGAAATTTTAAATTAAATTATTTGTAAGATAAAACATACGTTGTTTCTACTGTGTTCAGAGGGTCCTGTTTTGCAGTTGCAGTTAACTAGGAGATCAGTTAGCAAAATTCACCTTGACTGCTTTGCTAGAAGTCATTTAGTAGGACAGCATAGCAGATATTTTAATATCTGTACCTTTTGAAAAATATGTTAATTTACAAGAACCTTATGAAAATTCCTACTCTGTCAGACATAAATATACAATGTAAAGGAATGACCTTTATAGGTTGCCTTACTCGTGCTTTTAAAGAGCAGATTTTTCCTTTGGAAATATCACGACCATCTCCACCACTTCTGGGAAAAAAAAAAATCGAAACTCAAAACCATACTAAGAAATAAGACAATGGATACTAGAACAAAATTCAGCCCTTAATCTTTACAATTCAGAAGACTGTTACAAAATAAACAGAGACATACTGAAAATAAAATACTGCTAGGAACTCGGAGTACCCTAAAAGGAAGCAAATACAGGAACCAATCTCGGTGAGAAATATCCTAAGTAACGTTTCATTCGGAAGCTGAAAAGATAAGCACTGAAGGCTTACTTTCAGAAACAGTCTGCTCAGTAGTAGGTCTACAAGCATTGCCAAAAGCATTATCTTTTATCTTAGCATGGGGGATGGCTGCATCATCTGGTGGAACACAGTGCATCAAGCAGCACTGTTGGATTTTTGATAGGGATAGCACTGCACTATGCTACTGCTCAGGTCATGAAGGCAATACAACTGCACTAGCATAATAATTCGCCTGACTTACTATGTCATTGATATTTATTACTTCAAAAATCATCCTCTGCTGACATAGCTTTTCTTTTCTCTTTTTCCTGGATTAGTTATACTGAGCCAGTCAGGGGGAGGGGAGCATTATATAGATATTTATAAAAAATACATGCATTATATTCCATCACTTATGTTTTTTACAATGAACTCTAGTGCCTTTGCACTCAAAGGATGAGATATTCTGGCCTGGTTAAACTATGCCTACACTGGGGAATAAAAGGTAATGAAAAGATAACAACAAAAAAAGCTGCTAGCCTTTATGCAACAAATTAGTCAAATAAAAAAGATTTGAAACTGACAAGTCTGTAAAAATGGCCTTTTCTGACTATCTTCTATATAATTCCTCTTACTACTCTCCAATAAATACTGCTAAGCTTGTAACCAGAGAGCTTGCAATCTAAACATGACTGGCAATTACAAAAGCTACCAAATCTGGAATGTCCACTTTTTGGATGGAAGGAAAGAAAATAAAATACACTCAAAACAGTTCAAATGGAACAGGATAGATAGTACTCCGAAAAGAAGACTAAAAAGCATTTTCTTTTTAGTATAAACTAAATATAATCGGAAACAAAAAACTTAAATCTAGGTACTAGAACAGTTGGTACACTGTGTTAAACTCAAAATGAGCCCATTGATAAAACTTACCTGGTATCCACATTCCTAAAGAAACTGCTTAATGCTTCATCATAAATTCCCTTCTGGAAGCAAACAACATGATATAAAATCAATACTTGTAACACTGGAAACTCTCAGTGCTTGTTCATGGAGTAAGAACTGCTGGAGGTTATCTGTTAAATCTCACTCAAAACAGGACCAACCTTTAAATTCAATCTAAATAGCTCTAGTCAGCATTAGAGAAACAGCACTTTATTGAAGCATCAACTTGATATTAAAAATTGATCAGAGGAGCTAATTAGGAAATGAAGTTTTCAGCAGATTAACTAAATACATCTTTTTCCTAACTAAAGACATAGAATTTCAATGCAGATCTCAAAGCAATTATTAAAGTGTTGCTTTTTAGCTGACTCAGTTCCTCAATGGTAGAATACTGGGACAGTTTCATGCCTGCTATATCAATGACCATGAAGTTCTGGGCAAAGAAAAGCATGTTACACTGATTCCCAAACTAAGGGCTAATAGCAGGTGCTGAAACTTCTTGTTCCACCCCACAACTGAAAGACACCTGACAAGTTACACACCAGCACTGATAACGTTTTTACAGACTGTTTACCATGGCCTCAGAGACCTGAAGAAGAACCTGGAAGTCACTGCTCTTTCCTACACTGGACATAAGGGACTCCATGCGCATTTGGGCTTTGTGCATTGCCTTTCTGAGAGCAGCTAAAAGGACTGCTCACCATTACCTTTGTCCATGCATGCAATTGAGCCGGAAAGAGTATGGAAAGAGGAGTGCCTTTTTTTTTTTTTTTTCAATTTTCTCCAAGCTGCTCCGCACTGTCACTTCACAACATGGCCTATGCTGGTGTGGAAACATAGGGTGAGCTTGGGTGCAAATGCTTTTTGAATTTAAGGCCAGTCACACCACAGCACAAGTCACGGTGGAAGTGCATTAAGCAGCCCTCTCCCTTCACACAGGGCCTCGCACAAGGATTCTTCCAGATGGAGAGGCTTGAGACAGTGAATCCACACCAGAGTTCACTAGCTAAACTGCGTAAAACTCAGTGGGGAGCTTAGGGTACAATGAGGCGGCTTGAACCAAATCACCACCGAGCTTCGCCGTTCCCAGGCACGAAGCAAAGGCCTGACCGCTGGGGGAAGCGGCGCCGTTACCTTGTTAATGGCCGCGTGCTCGCGCAGCGCCAGGTCCCAGAAGCGGCAGCCCACCTGGTTCCCGCACTGTCCCACTGCAATGGGAGAGAGACACGGCTCAGGCGTCAGGAAGAAGGGAGCGCCACCTTCCCCTGCCGCCCTCCGTAC